AGAGAGGGAAGGGGAAATCAGCCCCTCTGGACTCCTTTCTCTCCCCTCCTGTCCACGGGAACACAGTTCTGGTCTAAGTCTGCATCAGAGTGGGAGGCAGCGGCCAGGGTTACTGTTACAACTCCTAACAGCAGGTAAGACTGTACTGGGAGAAGGAACAGGGAGGATGACAAGGGGAAACTTGAGGCCTCTCCCTCCCTGTTCTGGAGACCTGGAGTACTGCTTTTCTTTTCTGTTCCAGATACTGCCTCAGATTCTACTCCCATGAAACCAATACTAGCTGTCTGGGCTGTAGGGCAGCTCTGCATCCACAGTCCGGAATCCCCTAACACAGCTTTAAAATCCCACTCTCCATTTTTAGGAGGTCATATGACAGTAGCCTTACCACCATTCTGGCCCCACCCATAATCAGCATCAGCATCTAGTGGTTCTCCACTGGGTATACACATGGGGAGGGCTCCTAACTCTCTGAGGACAGGACCTAGGCCTCACATTATTTTTAGTCTCTGGCAGATTATGACATAAAGCCAGAATTGGGATACTTTTGTATAGGGTAATTTCTGTGTTACTGCCCTATCTATGAAGAAGATAGGCAGACACTGATCCAAACCCAGGGTTCTCCCTGGAGAACTAGAAGGAGTAATAGGGTTAGCTGGGTGAAACATGGAAAATAAAACCCAGGAAAAAACAAGAGGATCTGCCTCACTGTTCAGGCTTCCTGCTCTGAAGTGATCTGAAGAGCTATGGAAGGGCTTAGGTCCTTGCAGTGGGTAGCTCTTAACTGGGGGCTCATGGGTCAACTGACCTTAAGATACGGTTAGTAGGATAAGCGTGCAGCTTTGTGGGGAGGGCAGACAAGGAGCAAATTTTCAGGAAGAGGGGGGTCTATTTATCTTTTTGTGGTGGCAATGTTGGTGGTGGTACCCAGGACTTCACACATGCTAGGCAGGAGCTACAGCCTCAGCCTGCATTAACTATTAAAAACTACTGCTGAGCTGCACGTGATGGCGCACACCTGTAATCCCAGCACTCAGGAGGCTGAGGCAGGAGGATTACTGTGAGTTCGAGGCCAGCCTGGGCTACAAAGTGAGTTCAAGGCCAACCTGAACTACTTAGGGAAACCCTGCCTCAAAGACAAAACAACAACAAAACAAACTGTCGTTCAAGAGGATGTGGTAGGCCTCCAAAGAGAGTAGCATGTCTGGCTGTGGCTCTGACTACTCTGGCACATTTTTTGAGAGCCCAACAGATACCTTGAAAGTACTTAGAACAACTCCCTCATGTCCAGATAGGAGTCCTCAGGCCCAAGTGCAGTGGGACTGGTCCAGAACACAGAGGTATTAGTGGCAGAGCTGGATCTGTATGTCCAATGTGTCCCTTGTTCCTGATCTTCTATCCCATGACAAGTGAGTCACCCAGCACAGCATCATCTCTCACAATGCTTGGTCATCAGAAGAACCTCGCTACTTTTTCTCAGGCCCATGGATCTCCTCTGGATTCCCACTTACTGGGTCTAGAGGGTAAGGGCCAGGAATCCGGACTTTACGTCACTCCGCTTCCTCAGGTGATTCATCAGAATGATGCAAGTATGGGAAACAAGGGAATGGGAAGGCCATAATGAACAGAGAAAAAGAAACAGTTAGATGGTCAGCACCTCCCAAGAGACAGGCTCCAGGTCCAAAAACAAGTGAGGAGGAAGGCTGGGGGATTCCTCTTGAGGGTACGAGTACAGTAGGAGACCATGTCTTTTTAGTCTTGCAACCCGGCATTCAAAATCTTTGTAGAGTTTACCTGTGATGACTTCTTTCCCAAGTCACACTCTACTCCAATCCTGGCAGGCTTTTTTCCTGTTGACTCTGAAATACATCATGGCCTTCCCTCTCTTCCCCTATTCTAAATTTTCCTTATCTATCCACCCATTTAAGTACCAGCCTGTTTTAAAATTTCTTACCACCTGACATAAGGCTGTAGATAAGAACCTTGATTCAAGAATTCACTTATCATTCAGTTCATTCCACAGCAATGTTCCACCCTGGTGAGGTATTATCCCCCCAAATCCCAATGCAAACCACCAAGGGTGGGCCTCTGCTGCTTTGTGTAGTGCAACATTTTTCATGGGCCATGTGGTGAGAACAACTATTTTAAATGCACATTTTTCTCAACTAGCAGGCTCACAGAACCTTAGGAACTTATCTTAGACATGCTTAAAAAAAAGAGTACTTATTACAAATAGCACTGTTTGTAAAAGAACAAGACCAGATACACCCTGTGGTGGAGCTACCAGTCAAGTGCTCTGAGGTCAAAACTGAGTTCTTAAAAAACAAAAAACTGAGTTTTACCTCTGACCAAACGTGTGACCCAGAGCAAGTCACTTAACCTCCCCGGGTATCAGTTTCCTCATGTAGAAAGGGCACCTTCTTACAGAGTTACTGAGGGATTACATGACCAATGGAAGTACAGCACCATTTGGTACACAGGTAGGGCTCCATAAATATGACCTATTCTTACTATGCACCCATTACCAACAATGAGGCATGTGGTGAATATAGAATGACATTCAAATTATTGTGGTTAGTAAAAAAAGCAAATTAGCTAATGTGCATGATACTCAACCATTTGTTTAATTAAAACATGACAAGGCTGGAAGGAGAATATTAATGTAACCATATACGAATTTCTGAATTCACCTCAAAAAACAAAAACAAGAACTCTGGAACATGGCAGTCTGAGAAACTTCACTTTTCACCTTTTTTTTACTTTTCACCTTTTGTATGTTTCATTTATTTACGTTTTTGGTTTTTGAAGACAAGGTTTTGCTATATAGTTCAGGCTGGCCTTGAACTCATGGTGAGCCTCCTGCCTCAGCCTCTCAAGTGCTAGGATTATAGGTGTGCGCCACCATGCTTGACTTGTACGGTTTAATTTTACTACAATTTTTTTTTTTGGTACAGGGAATTGAACTGAGGACCTTGTTCTTGACAGGCAGTCTCTGTGCCACTGAGCCATATCCTTGGCTCTACAAGTTCTGAAAACAAAGGAAAAATTTTAAAATGCTGTAACAAGCAATAAGCTCCACTGGTGATTGTGCTAATAGCCATGAATGGCAGCAAGAGGTTGGATGCCTGCTTCAGGTGGGCTGTGGTAGGGGGTGTGATGAAGCTGTGTAAGACATTGCTCTGCCCTGCAGGACTAAAGTACCTCTTTTTGGTGAGGAGACTAGCAGGCCTGAGAAATAAATGGCTGAGTTGCTGCACCTGAGCTGGGTTCTTACTACTTTGGCTGCCAGACTGGGAAGAAGGCCAGTGTGATGCCTGGTCTGAGAAACTGTCTTCCTGTAGGGCCCACAATACCTATGCTACTTGTATATAAAGACCCAGTAAAAAAACAAAGGTGACTGTTGCTAAGAAGGGTGGGCCGGAGGAGATGTGAGAGGCCAGGCAGTTCTGTGGCTCTTTAATGCTAGAAGTGCATGCTAGTTTCCTCATCTGTAAAATGGGGATAATAACAGTACCATCTCACAGGGTGGTTAAGAGGACTGAGTTACTGACAGTAAAAACAACTACTGTATTACTGAGTGTTCACTACATGCCACGAACTGTTTTAAGAGCTCCAAACATGTTAACTCACTGACTCCTCGAAAGTACCCTAGAAGTAGATATAATTATCATATTGACTTTAAGATGAAGAAATCAAAACACAGAGCGGTTAAATTACTTTGTTTCCCGGCAAATGACAACTGTGATTTAAATCTAAATAATGTGACTTAATAGTCACCAAAATAGACTGTTTTCAAAGCTAATAACTTTGAAAGTACAGAATACTTAGCCCTTATAAGGGCTCAATGTGAACTATGATTATGTAGAAGGTGGGAAGAGTGAGGGTGACTAACTTGGACAAACTCTTTATGAAGTTCCTCAGTCTCCTTCCTAGTTAGCTTTTGGGTAGCCACTACCTTCCCTCTTCTCTGGTCTCCAACTCTCCCAGCTATCACCAGAGTCAGCAGGTCTCTACCCAGTCCTGTGGAGGCACAGAAGGCCAGAAAAGGTTAGTGGTGGCCCTTGAGCCAGTTCTCTGGCCTAATTCCTGCTTAAGACTAGTGCTCTAGGGACAGACTCTACAGAAGCTTGGCATACTCAGCCCAACACCCGCCTCATGGGACAGAGGGCCCCTCTCCAAGGTCCTTGATAGGAACTGATACCTAAGTTTGAAACTTTCTTTGAGACAGGGTTTTACTATATAGTTCAGGCTGGACTTGAACTAGGTAGCGCAGAATGGCCTCAAACTCCTAAGTGCTGCAATTACAGATACATGCCACCACGGCTGCCTTCAAAACTCTCAAAGCTATTTATATGCCTTGAATCCAGCCTACTTCTACGGGTAAAGAACAGCCAGGTGTGGTGGTGCATGCCTGTAATCCCAGCACTAGGGAGGCTCAGGCAGGAGGATTGTTGTGAGTTTGAGGCCAACCTGGGATAAAAAGTGAGCTAAGGTCAGCCTGAACTGCAGAGCGAGACCCTGTCTCCCAAAAAAAAAAAAAAAAAGTACAGAACAGTGACAGCAAACCTTTTAGAGCTTTTCAATGATACAAATAGCCCACTATGGCACATAAGCTGTAGCTTTGCCACCACTGGTATAGGATGACTTGTGAACTTTGGAGGAGTTCTAAAATTTCCTCTTAGTTCTAATGTCCTCACCTCCTATCCCTCTTTCATAGGTAATGATTTTAGTTTCCTTTCAGTTGCCCACATAAGCCTCCCTACATGAATTCTCCTCCACTGTGGGCAGTTTCAATTTGTGTTGCCCTCCCATGGGAGTCCCCCATTCCATGCCTGAGAATAAACTACAACACAGTTCCAGAACACCCAGGCTTGGGAGGTCAGGAACTCCCCAGCAAAGAACCTTTATTTCTTGGCACGCTGTTGGCTGGCCTCCACTGGCCTCTGACACCTGTTCCAGATCTCCCTCCTGCTGCACTTCCATCTCTAAGAGCAAAGACTCACCAGCACTGTTGGCCTCTGACTCCAGCAGGTGGATGTCATTGCAGTCCGCTAACGAGTGCTCCAGGCAGAGCTGCAGGAAGCGAGCTTGGGTGCGAGTGACCCGCTTCAGAAGTGACAGCAGGGCCACTGTCTGCTCACACTCATTCCAGCCCTTGAACCAGCCAGCAAGGATGCCCACCTGGTCTCGGAACATCATGGTGCCAGGCCTGGGGCCAGGGTGGGGGGGACGGCGGTGGCAAGGGCCAGCGCCGTCACATGGTCTCGGCTCTGGGCTCCTGTTATCTCTCCCCTGAGGGCCAGGGCTTAAGGATGTTCCCTGGCGTGATGGCAACAGGTAGTGAGGGGAGGAGGGAGCCTGCTCACATTGGGGGAGGTCTTGGTCCAGCCACGCCTCTCCAGGCTCCTGTAAAAGGAAGCAAACAGATCAGAGAGAATGAAGGGGCTGAAGCTGTCCTGGTGAGTGTGGGCTGGGTGGGGCATGAAAGCCTCATGCCTTCCTTTCTCAAGAATTCTTGTTCTGAGGAGCTTCTGGGAGAAAGATGAAGCTAGTTCTAGATACTAACCCGACTTCCCCCCAATCTCCAGGTCCAAAAAAAAGGATTAAATGGCATCCTAGAGACTGAGAAGATGCTGTCCTTCATACCTGACTGTCACAGACCCAAAGGAGGCAGATTTCAAGCTGAGAGTAAGCTGGGAAGATTTTTTTCAGAAATGGGAAATAAGCCTGGTGTGGTGGTGCACACCTGTAATCCTAGCATTCAGGAGGCTGAGGCAGGAGGATCACTGTGAGTTCAAGGCCAGTCTCTGTGACAAAGTGAGTTCAAGAGCCTGAACTGCATAGTGAAATCCTGTCTAAAAAAAAAAAAAAAAAAAAAAAAAAAAAAAAAGGAAGAAAGAGGAAATAAGAAGCTGCACATTATGGGAAAGACCTGAATTAATGGAGATCTGGCTCAACGTGACATGATTAAGCAAATATGTGACCTGACCCTAAGCATGTCTCTTTACCTCCTCTGAGACCCAGACACAGTGAATGCTCACCTGACAAAAAGACCCTAAAGCACTCTTTTTTTTTTTTTTCCCCCTAAAGCACCCTTTTATTACTTGGTCACTGACAGGCTGATGAGCTTTCACCTTCTCCAACCCAGCTCTCCCACTCTGGAAATGGTATGTACCTCTGATCTCTTTTTTTTTTGAGACAGGGTCTCACTATGTAGTTCAGGCTGGTCTTGAACTCACTACGGAGCCCTGGCTGCACTCAAACTTACGGCAATCCTCTTGCCTCAGTCTCCTGAGTGCTGTAATTACAGGTGTGTGCTACCACCTTGGCTCACCTCTCATCTCTTAAAATTGCACCCAAGCCGAGAATGGTGGTATGCACACCTATAATTCCAGCACTCAGGAGGCTGAGGTAGGAGGATTGTTGCCAGTTTAAGGCCAGCCTGGGGTACAAAGTGAGCTCAAGGCCAGCCTGAACTACACAGTGAGACCCTGACTCAAAAAGAAAAAATAGATTGCATCCATCTCTATTATGAGATGAATCCTTCTCAGCTGTCTTTTTCATTTCTCAGAAGTCTGCTTCAGACTCAAACTCTCTGGACTGGGAAGTTCCCCTGGCTCCTAGAACATCAGCCTATCATCCAAACCCCAGTCAAGAGGACATCAACCTGAGGGGAAGGGGACAATTCAAACGTCTAAAACTCAAAAAAAAAAAAAAAAGGTCAAAAACTCCAAGCAAGAAAGTGTCCAAATTACTCTTAGAGGAATACATAGAAGCTGTTTTAACGGGGCAAACAATAGACCTGTTCTTCAGTGGACTGCTTTCCGGGTACTACTCTGGAGCCTTTTTCTAAGTGTCTTGAGCTCCAGGTTTCTGCTCAACATTGGAAACCTGGAGGTTATCTCTCTTGCAATCAGTACCCTTGGCTCCACCCCCAAACCACATTTAGCTCTACCCCCGTCTGGTTGCTAAAGGGCTGAAGTTCCTTGGACTGAGAGCTCTACAAGGAACCACTGAACCTGTAGGCTCAGGTCTCAGGGAGCTACTCCCATCTCCCTAAATGTCCACATCCCTACTGAGGAGAGCAGTGAGGTGCATCTGACAATGCCAAGACTCATCCTGCAAATTCCCTGTGGGATCCCTTAACAGAGCAAACTGGCCTAGCTGTCAATCCCTTTGGGTATAAGAAGCAGGGAAAGGTGTGAGGGCAAAAAAACCTTGTTCCAATTGAAATAGCCCTCCCAGTAATTTTTTAAAAGGAGGAACAGATGCTGTCCTCCCCTGGCTTAAAATCTTGTACTTTAAATCCAATTTTGGCCAAGGGCCTCGCTAACGTCCTTGTGTACCAAGTTCCTCCAGATTCCTCTTCCCCTAGAGGCTGGCCCCCACGTGTTATTCAGTGCTAAGCTCAATGGCACTTCCTGAGTTTTCCTGATAGCCAACTCTAAAGAGATGCTCCCCCATCACTCCATTGTACTATGCTGTTTCCATTTCTTTTATATAATTTGGCACTGTCAAAACCATCTTACTGTTCCTTTCTTCCCATCTAAATGCAAGCTATACAGTTAGCCAGACCTTAGAACAGTGCTTGCCATACAGAAGGTACTCACTGTCTTGTAAATCAACAGTTAAGGTGAATGTGGAAGCCACACTTACAATTTCCAGAGTCCTGGGAGAAAAAATGTTAGACAAAGTGCTTCATAGCATGATAGAGGGATTTTGGTTTTTTTCCAGTACTGGGAATTGAACTCAAGACCTTGCGCTTGCCAGGCAGGCACTGTGCCGCTGAGCTAAACCCCCAGTCCCCAATAGAGGGATTTTGGAGGACTGGTCTTAGAAAAATTTGAAGGTACTAAGGAAATCTCCCCAGGGAAAAGAAGAGTCAGATGGAATGACATAATGGACTGAATACTCAAAAGACATGGTATACAGAAGAGGAATTAGGTATGTTCTTTTACTACAGAAGAGATCCAGGGTAGATGGCTCTAAGTAACAGGCCACATGGGACATGGGAAATGTTTAAAATCAAGGAGACTCAGTTCTAGTCCCACTCCAGCCACAGATTCACTTGACCTTGGAGTCAGTCTGCTTTTCTTCTCTAGAATCCGTGAGGTAAGGAACTGGCCTGTGTCAGACAAGACAAATAAATTTTTAACTTACAGGGTAAATCTAATTGGTTGGTGGTAGCTATCTGGAGTACTATGATGAAACAGATCCTAAAGAAACAAAACAATGGGAATATCTATCAAAGGGGAATGATTAATACACTGGGGCAGACCCCACACTATGCAACATCATGCACTATTAAAACGTGTACTGGGCATGGTGGTACATGCCCGCAATCCTGAAAGCAAGATTTTTATACATACATACACACACATCCCACACACACAGTCTGATTTCTATTTACAGGCTTGGAGGAAGAGCCTGAGTCCACAAAATGAAAATAAATAAATAAACACACACACACACACACACACACACACACACACACACACACATGCATACATGATGCCATTTTCATTTAGGAAGAAAGTCACATACAGAGCCCCTTATATTTTACATATGACCATGCATGTATATAAAGAAATGTGTAAACCAGGCCTGTAATCCTCAAGAACCTAGGTCAAAGTAAAAAGTAAAAAAAAGGGGGTACAGAATGAAGGTCAGTAGCAGAGTGTCTCTGGGTTTGATTGCTAATACCACATACTACAAAAAAAAAAAAAACAAAAAAAAAAAACAAAAAGAGACCAAAGGAAGGTAGACTGGCTGGCTGGTTTGTTTGTTTATTTATTTGTGACAGAATTTCTCTATATACTTAGGCTGTCCTTGAATTCACTATGCAGCCCAGGCTAGCCTTGAACTCACAGAGATCTCCTGCCTCAGCCTTCTAAGTGCTGGGATTATGAGGAATTAGTAACACTATTTTAGCTTTGGTAGTGCTGGGGATTGATTCACATATGCTAAGTAAGCAATCTGCCATTGAGCTACATCCTCAGCCTTTAAAAATTTTTTCACTTTGAGACAGGGTCTCACTAAATTGCCCAGGCTGGGCTCAAACTTGTGATTTTCCTGCCTCAGCATCCTGAGTAGTAAGGATTCACCACACCAAAGCCTGAACACTCTATATAATTTTGTACTATTTTACTAGTTGCAAGTGATGACACCATTTTTGTAATAAAAAAAAGAAATTAATTTTAAAAAACATTAAGGCTGCATTCTACTTTCTAGCTCAGTGAGAAAGAATGCTGAGATTAATTATCAGTGTTTGCCCAGGATGCAGGGCGGGTGAGCGGTAGCTCATGCCTGAAAAAAAATCAGTTTTCCTTCCCAGCTTCAGCATTTTGTGGCTTTCGGTCGCAAGGAGGCAACAGCTGCCTCAACATAAGGAAGAGTTTTAAAATAATGTATCTGTCCAAGAATGGAACTGGCTACCATGTGAGGAAGTAGTAAGCTCCCTGGCTGCTGGAAGTGGTCAGAGTTTGGATGAACATTTGCTGGGAGTGGCAGGGATTCCTTCACTGGGTGGCAACTCCTAAGATAGGAGGACATGTTGCTGTTGCAGAAGAAACATTTGTGACGAGAGGTTTGACATGTCAACAGTTTTTACAGCAAAATGATGACCAAATTCACAAACAGACCAAAGTTGTACACACTCCTTCCCATAAAGTTTTTTTACTGGGTTGTTATTTTTCCTAAAGGAGAGCACTGTGCCCCCCACCAAATAAATTGTTGACTAAGCATTAATCCAGCTTCTCCCAGCAAAGCTTTGGGACAGAACTGGGTCTCAAATACGATGCTTATAAGCCAGGCTCTGAAAAAAGCAGGCCAGTAGGGACTATGTTGAGTTAGAGTCCACACCCTGCTTAAAAGAAGTTACTATTCAGCTCTAATCAACTACTGCTGTGGGAGAAAGTGTGTCCAGTATTATGAGATTTTAAGATATTTTTTAAAAGAGGAGCTGGAAATCTGGCTTTTAAAATAAAATTCCCCTATTTTTAAATTTTGGAAACCCATTCACATTAAAATAGCAACAGTGAGCTACTACACATAACAAACAAAACCTGTGGCATGTGGTCCTTGGAACTGATGGACACAAACTGAGGAAAGACCTGAAGTCTGCTAACTAGTCCTCCCTAAGGCCTCTCTGGCCCTAAGGTCCCACAGCTTAGGGAACATTATGCGTGGGGAGGATCTAGTGATGGAGGCGGCCTCTGGGAATATGCAGTAAGCACTGGGGAGTTTTCAAGATTGTATTGTTAAAAAAAATTGTCCTCATAGGAAGCACTCTGTTAGGTCCTCAGGACAGAATGCCAACTTAAGATCGGTTGGCTCTCTCCCATGAAAGGACCAGAGGCCCCCAGCCACCTCTATCACTGGTGCTTAGCGACTGCCAGAGATGATGACTTGCATAAGGCATGAACAACTATTCCAAGACAT